TAGGTAAATGTTTCCAGGCGTGGTGGCCCGCACCTTTAACCTCAGCACTCCGGAGACAGAGACTGGCAGATCTCTGTGAGTTTGAGGCCAGCCTTGTCTACAGAGTGGGTTCTAGGACAGCCAGGGCTACACAGAGAAACTCTGTTTTGAAACACACACACACACACCAAACAAACAACAAATAAACAAAGATGTAGGTTAATGTGTCTGGGTGGTCTGAATGGAAGTGTTCTTCTACGCCACTAAAGAAAAGATCGAGCCGGGCGGTGGTGGCGCACGCCTTTAATCCCAGCACTTGGGAGGCAGAGGCAGGCGGATTTCTGAGTTTGAGAGTTCGAGGCTAGCCTGGTCTACAGAGTGAGTTCCAGGACAGCCAGGGCTACTCAGAGAAACCCTGTCTCGAAAAACCAAAAAAAAAAAAAAAGAAAAGATCAACACAGAGGGTGAAGCCGAGCACTGAGACCGCCAGTTTTAATCAAGGAACTGCCCTTTAAAGGACCTTCACCAGGATAGCTGCTGGCATATGGATGCTGCACTGAATTATACAAGACTCACAGGCTCTTTGGAGAAGACTGAGCAGGATTTCTTCCTGGAAATCTGTAGGTACCAGCTCACATCCCGCCACAACCAAGTCCTTATGGCTGGTCCTTGGGGGAAGGCAACCTTAGTCAGGTGACTGCTCCACACACCCCTTGTTCCAGCACATGGGGGAAGCATTAGGTGTGCGCATTCCTCACGGCTGAGCAAGGTGAGGTCCCCAAGTGCTCTGCTGGAATCACCCAGCTGGACACCGGGTCAACCAAGTGTATGTTTCAAATAAATCTTACATGTGTGCATACGTGTTTGTGTGTTGTGTGAATGTGGGGGTGGACATGCCATGTTGTTTGCTGTTTGTGTAGATCAGGCTAGCTGGTCCATGAGCCTCTGGGGGCTTCCTGCTTCCACCTCCCATTTCCCCATAAGAGCCCTGAGAGTACAGATACATGCATGTTGTTTAAGTGAGAGGGTAAATATAAACTCAGGTCCTCATGCTGGTACAGGAAGTTCTACCCACTGAGCCCCCTCCTCCCTATCCACACAAACACACACACACACACACACAGACACACACACATTCTCTTAATTTTAACAAGCTCAGATATGCTTTCTCTGGTCTGGATTTGGTGAGTTGCACCTCAGCAAAACAATATGAAATACTTTATTATCCAATCAACTACTATCCTGTATTATGCAAGGAATGAGGGAGACAAGTTGTGTGGTGGAATATCCAGTCTAGGCTTGGAAATCAATTATCCAGAGACAATTCTCATTTCCAGTTATAATGTGTCTATTACATCTGATCAAGGACAAACCCAGTGCCTGATTCGTTAACAAGCCCTTGGGGAAGCTATTAGCCAGCTGGCATTCCTGATCCATGTGGAAATCCCTGCTTTCACTGTCAGGATTGTGCAAAGGTGCTCACTTAATTACGAATGAAATCTATGGAAGGGAAAGTCCACGACCTTTATAATATTATGGACAGGCAAATGGAAGCCAAAGAAAATTGGTTAATCTTCTAAATGCTGACCTGTTTTCCTCTTGAATAACCACTGGTACAATGTTCAAGGGTTTACACAAATACATTGTATCCTTTACAAGATGTTTTAAATGGTAACTTGCCCTAACTAGTAGCTATAATACAGTCCAGAAATTGTTGAAAAGTAGTGTTTCCACCTTTTCTTTCCAATGTCAAGGATAAAACACAAAGCCTTGCCCAAGCACAGTTTATGCTGTCCCTTGAACTGCAACCTAGCCCCCAGCTGCAGCCATAACTAAAGAGAATCAGCTCCACAGGTTAGAAGGCAAGTCAGGACCTAGTGGTTTTGTAGATTTGTTTCTTAATTATGATTTTTAAGCATATATGAGTATGTATGGGTATCGGATCCCTGGAGCTGGGGTTACAGATGGTCGTGAGTTGTTCTACGCTGAGTGCTGGGAACCAAACTGGACCCTCTGTGAGAACAGCATGTGCCCTCAACTGCTGAGCCGTCTCTCCAGCCCCAAAGATCCAGCATATTTTTAAACTGCAAGTAAAATATTGTTACCTTCTAATCTGCAAAAGCATCAGAAAAAAGGAAGGAAGGAAGGAAGGAAGGAAGGAAGGAAGGAAGGAAGGAAGGAAGGAGGCTGCCTGATAACAGAGGCAGAGACAAACCAGAAGGTGGTATTGGAAATGGTGACTGGGCAGGCATTCACTGTAGGTGACCTACACCAGGAATCATGGTCCTACCATCTATACTGAGGGTCCGATGATCAAAAGCGCACTATGGAGAGATACGGGAAAAGGCCAGACAGGACCAAGAGTGGGCTCTGGAGGCCAGCAGAGCTCAGGAGGCCGCTGGCTGCCCTGGGATTTGCAGCTCCTTGCAGGTCCCCTGGTTTGTTTTTTTGCTTTTCTCCTCCTGCTGGCTCCAGCTGCCCCTGCTCCTCAGAGCCGCTCTCATCTGACAAACCAGGGCCACTCCCTGGGAATGAATGCTTAGGTTTCAGTTTTGCCCTGACCTCAGACTCAGCCTTTCCCTGGCTGGTCTGATGAAGTTACCAAATGTGAGTGGTGACAGATTCCTGGAGAAGGCTGGAAATGATGGCGGATCCCAAAGGCTGTTTTTTTAAAGTCTGGGACCTACTTTCTGGTAACAGCAATTGAAAGTTGCATTGACTCCACATTGCTTGGGACTTTGCTACTGTTTATGGAAATTTGCAAAGCAGACTGGGACTATAATATAAAAGCTACTCACCTTTCCATGTTTGGCTTTTGTGTTGTGACAGCCTTGCTCCATAGCACAGGCAGGTCTTAAACCTGAGATGGTTTTACCCCAGCCTCGTAAAGTGCTGAGAGATTACAGGTGTGTGCCACTCGGCCTTGTTTTTAACTATGAAAAACATTAATTTTCTTTTGTTGTCCTTTTACGTTAAAGAAGTCAATGTCATTGTGGGTGGGACTCTTGAGCCTTAGAAAATCACTTTACTTCATGGATTTCACTTTAATCCTGTCGAGTGTGTCTTGTGCTGGGTTCAGCTAGAGTACCTGTTTCAGAGCCCCACGCTGGGCGGTGGCCTGTAGCTGCTGATGGCTTACATCCTTTACTAGATTGCCTTCCCCAAGGGAGGGGACCTGGGCCTCCGGTCCAAAGAAAATAATAGAAATAATAGAAATAATAGGTCCTTGCCAGAAAAAGCAAGAGATGGGGGTATGGTACCCATAATTGTCTTGAAGAGAAGGTATTTGAGCAGTTGGTGTGCTCAGGCTTGGGGTAGTCATGGGACAGTGCAGAGGACAGAGAAAGATGGGAGAAGGGAAGGGTAGCCAACCATCACTGCCATAGAGTTCAGGCACATGAGACACCTTCTAGGTGTCCAGACAGAGCCACCATACCTCAGAGTAGGGGAAAAAGACAAAGGACCTGCTGGCCCTTCCTGGCCTTGGTTCTCTCTCTAGGGCATCAGTTCCCACACAGCTCTGCCTATCGTGGCCTGGCCTCTCAAGGAGTTGATAGTGAAGTGAGAGCCGAACCCACGTTTCACCCACTCAGGTCTGCTCTGCGGGACACATGAAAACACACAGATCCCTGCGGGCTTGCTTTGCTCTCTGCTGTTGGATTGCCTGAGAGTCGGTAATTAATCATTCCTGGGCTCTGAGAGGTCTAAACATGGAGCTGGCCACTGGTGAGGACCCTGGTGTTTATCATTCCATGAGAGAAGGCAGGGGGGACAAGAGAGAGCAAGATGGAGAGAAGAGAGAACTGCACTGTATAGCATTCATTCATTCATTCATTCAGGAAGGCAGAGCCCTTGCAACTTAATAACCTCCTTCTAGGCACCTCTCAGCTCCATTGCACTGGAGACAGGACGGCCGATACAGGAACTGTGGGGGACACGCTCCAGCCACAGGAATGGCGCTCTTCCAGAAGTGATGGCGGAAGTTGTCGTGCTGGAGACATAAACTGGACTTGTTTCCATGATGAACTAGGAACTGAGAGTGAAAGGCACACCATTCCTTGCTATTCTGTCACAGCCCCCACCACACTAAACCTCCCGTTGCCGCTTACAACACAACACGTTCGATTCTCTGGATCAGCATCTCTCTGGCAGCATGGAACGGGAGAGAGATTGGAGGGGAAGAAGTTTAAGTGTCCTCACTTTGCAAACCACCCCATTTTTCTACAGTACTTAATTAAGTGTTCTGTGACCCCTGTGGAAGCCACCTATCCCCTCTGAGCAATGGAGGCAGTTTCATGAGACCCTGTATATTATATATATCATAGGATTCAGTGAAATCACCATAGCAACAGCACTTTTGCTCTCTAGTGTTCTGAACAAGGCAGGGGCTGTTCGCCGTGCTCCCCGTGCCTTCTGCATCCCTATTCACAGGTCCTCCCCAATGGCTCTGCCTCCTTTCTTTGATCTTCTTACGCTTGGTTTAAGTTGTGTTTTCAGTAGCCCCCACCCCTCCAGTTCTGGAGCCTAAATTCAAGCCCAGTGCCATGTCTTCTACGCCTTGAATCATCTAGCCCCTGGGCAGCCTGCTCTTGGCGTCCTAGTAGGGGGAGTAATCTTAACTACAACCTCTTGCCAGGACAATAATTCCACATAGGATCTTTCCCTTGCTGTGCTGAGCGAAGTCTCCGCAAGTACCAACGTGCCTGGAAGGAGAAGGGCTTGCCCAGGAATTGCTGGTCCAACTGTCTCTTAGATTCTGCTGCGTTCATATGAAAAGGAGACAAGTGGGCTCGCCCATGGCTCCTTCCTCCAGCTGAGCCATCTCTCCAGCCCCCAGGATCCAGCAGGCTCTGGATCTCCCACACAGGTTCCCTCTCACCTCACAGTGACCTCTGAGAGGTCGATAGGGCATCTCCATTGTTACAGTATAACAGGTTTGAAGCAAGTGGCTCTAGGCTAGTTTCATGGACAGCATGAGGCCAGCCAAAACTGGGAACTGTGTCTTCTTGTTCCAAGTTATTTTCTGTCACACTTCTTCCCTTTGTTTTGGCCTGTTTCAATCCCTTTGTTCTTGTCTTTCACAGACATTTACACGCCTGTGCGCTTAGCAATGCTGTTTATTTAACTCGCAAAGAAACTCCAGTCATGTAGTACTGAAGCCCTGAGAGACCCATCAAGTCTACACGGCCATTCTAACTCAAGGTAAGTTAAGGCCAAATGAATCTTTCTCAAAGGCCCGACGGGCCTCTTCGAGCCATGGCCTACTTCCAGAGAAGGGAGATCCAGAGTTTCCTTTCAACTGACTTCATTCCGTGGGCTCTCTCTGTGGTGTGGACACCTCCATTCCCTGAGGTGCAGAGGCCTTCTAGGTTGAACCTTGAGGATGGTGTGTATTTGGTTTCCAACTGTGAGTGGAATAGGCAGCATCCCGGGCAGCAATAAGGGGGCTTATTCCAACTGTGAGTGGAATTCTAGAGGAGAACAGAGATAAACTGAGGCAGAACATGACCGTGTGACATGAATCCTTTTGCTCATGTCCCTGATGGAAGCTCAGTCCAGTGTGTGCTGTGTGCTGGTGGATTTGGGGTTAATGGAAAGGAATGGGTCTTGTGCGACTGAATAACTAAGATGTGGCAGGGACCACCCAGAGCTCAGTGTCGTAAATGTGATACTATGAAGGTCTCACTGGACAAGAGGCTGATAAGGGCCTAAGTGAGCAAGACATGGCTCCCTTGAGCTACAGAGACAAGCCTTTCAAGAAACTCTGTATCTCAGGTTTGTATTATCGTGGTGAAACACCATGACCAAAGCAACTTGTGGGGTGTCTTAGTCAGGGTTTCTGTTCCTGCACAAACATCATGACCAAGAAGTAAGTTCAGAAGGAAAGGGTTTATTCCACTTACACTTCCACATTGCTGTTCATCACCAAAGGAAGTCAGGACTGCAACTCACACAGGGCAGGAACTTGGAGACAGGAGCTGATGCAGAGGGCATGGAGGGATGTTACTTACTGGCTTGCTTCCCCTGCCTTGCTCAGCTTGCTTTCTTATAGAACCCAAGACTACCAGCCCAGGGATGGTACCAGCCATAATGGGCCCTCCACCCTTGATCACTAATTGAGAAAATGCTTTACAGCTGGATTTCATGGAGGCATTTCCTCAAGGGAGGTTCTTTTCTCTGTCATAACTCCAGCTTGTGTCAAGTTGACACTCAAAACCAGCCAGTACAGGGAGGAAAGGGTTTATTTGACTTATACTTCCATAGCACTGGTCATCATCGAAGGAAGTCAGGACAGGAACTCAAACTGGCCAAGATCCTGGAGGCAGGAGCTGATGCAGAGGCCATGGAGGGATGCTGTTTACTGGCTTGCTTAGCGTACTTTCTGAATCCACAACCACCAGCCCAGGAATGGCACTACCCACGACAGGCTGGGCCCTCCCTCACTAAGGAAATGACTTAAAGGCTTGCCTACAAACCAGTTGCATTTTCTTAATGGAGGTTCCCTCTTTTCAGGTGACTTTAGCTTGTATCAGGTTGACATAAAACTAGCCAGCATACCCTGCTTGGCGTCCATTCCAAACCATTCCTCTCATTCAATATCAAGTCTGTTTCCCTCCACTATTGTGTTGACTGCATGTGTGAATGTCAGAAATTCTAACTCATAAAACTGAAAACTGGCCAGACAGTGGTGGCACACGTCTTTAATCCCAGCACTTGGGAGGCAGAGGCAGGCAGATTTCTGAGTTCGAGGCCAGCTTGGTCTCGAACAGAGTGAGTTCCAGGACAGCCAGGGCTACACAGAGAAACCCTGTCTCAAAAAACCCAAAAAAACCAAAAAACAAAAAAACCCCAAAAAACAAAAAAACCCTGAAAACTACAGAAAAAGGAGCTTTGGGCAGGGGAGGGTTTGAGGGGGGCAGGGATGTTGCAGAGGATATGACCAGAGTCTAGGGAAACGGTCGACTGAGCAGTCTGGGAAAATAAATTATGTGGTTGCAGATACTGGGACTGCAGCCAGAGGAAGGAGCTATTGCCCTGCAGAAAAGACAAAGAACAATTCCCCTGAGGCAAAACAGAGGATCGCATCAGCAAAGTCAAAAATATCCAGCCTCTTTTGATTCTGACTGGCACCCACCTGAAGCCACTAATCCTGAGCAACTCAGCAGTGGTGACTTTCATCATCAAGTGGTACAAAGCTGTCAGCATAGTTCAATACCCTCAGCCCCTTCTGCCTCACATGGAAACCCATCTCCTGTCTATGCCAAGGACACTCCCGCCTTTGACAGAGACCTAGCCCAAGCCTATCTTCTCAGAGAAGACCTTTCTGTCTACGCTATTCACACCATGTGGCTGAGCTAGAAACACATCCGGTGTTACCCATTAGCGTCAACAAGAAACGCGCCTTTTTATCAGCTGTTATGTAGATTTCAGAAAGCATTTCGCGTCTCATTTTGCCAGACATCTGAGAAAATTGTTGCATGCCAGCTGAGCTGTAAGATGAACCTGCCTGTGATAATGGGACCTGGCTTAGCAAAGACAGCAAGGTCAGCTGACACAAGTTCTGTGTTCTGCAAGCTATATCCACCAGACTGGTTCAAGATCAACTCTTTGTTTTTGCAAGGACTATCAGATTGTCACCATGGACCTAGCCCATGTTTCATGACAGTTAATCAGCAAAGAAACCTACAGATACATTTGGAATGAATGGATTCAAACAGGCGAGTTGGTATTTGTAATGCATTCCAGACAGACAACTTTGCATTGAACCATTAGCCTAAATTCAGGATTTCTAGCTCTTCCCAGATGGGCCTAGAATTTTTTTTCTGTGTGGTGGGAAATGCTTTGCATAGAGAATGTTTAAGATCTCCAGCCTTGTGCCAATTGGAATGAGTTAGATATGTGGCAGCATCAAACATCCCCAAATCCTAGAACGGATATAACACACGTTTAATTCACTCTAGTTCGCATAAGATCTGCAGACAGCCCTTTAGGGTGACTTTCCTTGTGCACTGATTCAGTATCATAATTGTTCAAATCTCTCTATAAGCACACACCTCCCCGAATGCCATAGCAGAAGAAGAGCGATTAAGTCTTTCCCCCTTAAGAGACATGTGCCACATTTAACTTGCAAAAACAAGTCTCCTGACCTCACTGAACTCCCAGTCAGCATGTCAGTTATCAATTCCTATAAAAACAAGTGACCAACAAAGTTTCACTTTTGACAACACAGTTTCTAATTTTGCATGACTCGTGAATCAGCTGGAGAGCTCTTTTGCTGGATTTTCCTGGGCTTACACAGACCGCTGTATCTGGCTGGAGGATTAGTGGTTTGATTGGCTCAGAAAGGCCACAGCATCCTTGTACAGGTGTGTGTGGCCCTTGCTGTTGCCTGTTGCCTGGGTACCTTGATGGCTTCTCATCCTCTAGCAGGGCTCAGTTCACCTCCTTACACGAAGGTCCCAGGACAGTGTTCCAAAGAGGACAAAGCCAAATGCTGTCAAATCTCTTGAACCCAGGCTCCAGAATTTGTACAATGCTGCATGTTTTATTGGCCAAGACTAGTAGCAAATCCAACCCAAGTTCAAGGTTTATGGAAATAATTTCCTAGTGCAGTTACACATATCATAGCCATGCTTTGGCCTATTAAATCAGGCATATACACAACCAATTCTTGTGCCTTATACTCACTGTGAACTCTGAATTAAATAATACTGAGTCATGGCATCTGAGAAAACAGAGTGTGTTCCTACAAGCCTCCGTCACAAAATCACCATAAACTAATCAACTCTCTAAGCTCGTTTTTCTCTACTTAAGGCTATCTTATCTAATAAATAGCATTGATTTGTAAACATTGAACCCACAGCCAGCTCAGAGCCCACTGAAGACTCACCCCATCAGAGCTTACCTACAGGCACTTCCTCAAAAGGCACACCATAGCATTTCTGAGCCAAGGAGCATCAACAACACTATGTCACTAACTGTACTCCATGGACACTTGTTAACAAAGAGCTGAGACGAGATGGCACAATACCACTTTGTTATGCTCACAGCCATGTGTCTACAGCTCAAATTGTTACCCACTCTACAGTTCCTCCCCCCAAAAGACCACAAAAGCAACATGAGTCATAGGTATTGATTTTGAGATCACACATTAATTTTTGCAAGGAGATAAGCCCACAAATATGGAATCCACAAATAATGAGAATCAGTTGTACGGGGAAAGCAGATAATGGTGGGAAATACACCATATTTTCTTTATTTGCTTGACTAGTCACCTTTGGTTGAAAGTGGACACTTTATTTAATGTGATAATTCTAAAAGTCCTGTAATCAAATTCTCCACCCCCCTTGGGTTTCCACTGATTGCTATTATTTACTCACTGTTCTGAGCTGGGATATAGTCTCTCTCTCTCCCTCTCGCTGTCTCTGTCTCTCTCTGAGACCCCACAGAATTGAATCCAGAACCTCAAACATGCTAGACAAATGCTCTAGGTCCCCAGCCCCTGAACCTGAGTAGCCACTGTCATGTGTACCCACTGAAGTCTCTGCCTAGTTAGCCAGCTTGGTGGCATGCTGACATTGGATAGTTTTCCTCAAATACTTGGAGTGGGTAGATCTCCTTCCTGGTCTTGCCTATTGGCTGTCTGTGAGCACTGGAGCGTGACATGGGCAGAAGCTGACCCTGACTGTTCCGCTTTGGCCTTGCTTCCTTCCTTTTGGAAGTCTGTATAAACATTTGGCCTTCATGTAGGAAGCCCCGAGGCCAGCAAGAAATAGATACATAAGGCTTTCTTACATATAACATCCATCTTACAGGTGTAGACGCTGAGATGCATAAACATTTAATAACCGACCTGAGGACACCCCAGACATCATACAGGGACCCTAGGATGTAGATGGTGGTCTGACCCCAAATCCTGTACACTGGAACTCTTTGCCTTGTTGCTGAAGAAACAGCTTTAGAAAGCTTAAATAGCTGGAGGTCACACTGCTGCAGGGGCCCAAAACTGATCCTGTTCTCCACTGTTTGCCCAAGCCACTGTCAGGGAGGACAAAGGGCAGCCTGCAAGGTTCAGGCTGGAGGAGCCCCCAATCAACAAACGCTTCTGTTGAGCCCTTCACACACACACACACACAGACACACAGACACACACACACACACACACACATATCGAAACAATGGTTATCTGAAGGTCAGCAAATGAGCAAAATGATAGAGATTCAGAAAATGAGCTTCAGAAGGACAGACGTGTGGCCTTGCCTATGTTTGGAGCAGGATTAAGGATCCTGTTTGGTCCATGCTGTGCACTGCTATTATAAAACTGTACTGAAAGTTGCATTCCTGCTGGGTGTGGTGACAAATGCCTTCAAAACCATCACTCAGTAGGCAGAGGCAGGTGGAGCTCTATGAGTTGGAGGCCAGCTTGCCTACAGGCCAGCCAAGGCTGAACAGTGAAAGCCTGTCTCAATAATGAGCAAACAAAAAATGTTGTGTCCTGTGGAACTGAGTCCTTTCTGTTCACTCTAGCTCAGCTCCTGGACCTGAGGCCCTTCCAGCCAGTCAGCGGGTTCTTCAGCCTTCCCACCCACATGAGGCTCAAGATGGATGAGGCCCCAGTGAAGCTCAGGTCTAAAGTTCCGAGAGCCCACCTACCCACTTCACCCTGGATAACCCCACAGCTGATATCACCGAGAACTTAGCATGTAGGTGCACATTGCAGTTACAAGTACCAGATGAGCTTCCAGTTCAGCTGCGGCTCCCTTTCATGGTGCTCAGAGGACACTCAAGAGAGGGTGTCAATGAAACTGCAGTTCTAATCAAACAGAAGCCCAATTGAAGCCTCCTCACTAACACGGAGCATTCACAGGCACCCAGAGAGAACCCACTGTTCTGTGTGCACTTTGAGTTCATTACAAAAACACAGAACTTGATTCCAGCAGCTGGTGTAATTTTAGCTCTAATGGTGGATGTTTAAGGCACGAAACTCATGGTTGGACCTCAGGGTTCCTATAGGGAGAGGCCATCTGCTCCTCACTCATAGTCTGGAGCCTCCCCATTGCAATGATAACAGCTGACTCTTCAACTCTGGTACCCCCAAATGACTTGTTCTGATACCCCTATACACATACCCGTGTATTAGCATGCACATACATGAACATGTGTGCATACAGGGGGGAGACAGACAGACAGACAGACACACACAGAGAGAGAGAGGGAGAGGGAGAGGGAGAGAGCGAGAGAGAGAGAGAGAGAGAGAGAGAGAGAG